CCCCGCCCCGGTGCCCCGGGGCTCCCCCGCGGGCTGCCCGGCAGTGCCAGCCACAGCATCACTGCAAAGAGCCTTTTATTGGGTACCGCGAACCTGTCAGCCCAGATCGGGGTGCCGGAAGGGGATGCCCCATGGCGTGTCCCGTCCCATCCGTCCGTCTGTCTGTCCGTCCGTCCCGCAGCAGGGACGGCCGTGCCGTTACCCATGTCCCGCTGCCTACCAGGAGCAGCGGACCACCTCCCGCAGCGTCCGCCGGAGCTCCTGGCTCCGGAAGGCATAGATGAGGGGGTCGATGACCGAGTTACAGATGATGAGGATGAGGAAGAGGTTGAAGTAGCTGAAGAAGCAGGTGCAGAAGGGGTTGGTGGGACAGGTGACAATGAGGATGAGGTGGAAGAAGAAGGGCCCCCAGCAGATGAAGAAGACGCCCAGGAGGATGGTGAGCGTGATGGCTCCCTTCAGGCTGCTGTCGTGGTAGACGGTGGGCTGCTTCTGCTGCCTGGAGATGCTGCGGAGGTGGTGGCGGGCCAGGGCGAACATGTGGATGTAGAGCACCAGCATGAGGACCAGCATGAAGAGGAAGAAGCCAATGAGGCAGAGGAGGATGGCATTGTTGTGGCAGTAGGTGATGAAGACAGTGCTGGAGACGGTGCTGGTCAGCCAGATGCTGGCCATGGTCACCATGGCCCGTTGCAGCGTCATGATGCTGTGGTAGCGCAGGGCATAGAAGATGGTGATGTAGCGGTCCACGGCGATGACCCCCAGGAAGGAGAGGGAGGACACGACGGAGCTGCAGATGAGCATGTCGATGACGTTGTCCATGTGGCGGATGATGCTGGTGTCGACCACCAGCACGCCGTGCTCCATCAGCAGCATGAAGAGTGTCTCTGCCAGGTTGCTGACGCTCACCAGCATGTCGGAGATGGCCAGGCAGCAGATGAAGTAGTACGTGGGTGAGTGCAGGTTCCTGTTCTTCAGGATGGCAGCCACCACCAGCAGGTTCTCCACCAGGCTCACCAGTCCCAGCGTGAGGAAGAGCTCGCTGGGAATGTTGAGCCCCTGGCACCAGGCGCTGCCGGCCCCGGTGTTGCTCTGGTTGCCCTCGCTGGCATTCCAGGGCTCACGTAGCAGGCGCAGGGGGGCCAGCATCGACATGATCCCCACCTCAGCCACAGGGCCCCCCGCAGTGCCCACACACCCCCTGAGCCCCCGTCCTGTCCCGCCAGTGCTCCCGCAACGCCCAGCGGCGAGGCCAAGGGGATGTGGAGGAATTGGGGATGTGGGCTTCCACCACCCGGGGACGTGCCGGGGATGCCGCGTGCCCGCTGGGACTCCCGGTGTCACGGCTGCCCTCCTCGCCAGCTCTGCCCAGTGTCCCCGCAGCCGTGCGACCGCCGGCCCAGGGTGATGGGGAAGAAAGGGCCCTTTCTCTGCCCCGGCTCCCGCGGCTCCTCCTCCCGAGGAGGGTGGGCACCCGCATGACAGCGGCACCCCGGCAGCCGGGGGAGCCACCACAGAGGCCGGGGTTGCTGGACCCCTGACATGGCCCTAGGGAGCCCGACCGCTTCAGGTCATCATGTGCCCGGGGATCCCACATACCCTGGAAGGGGTCCACGCAACCCCCGGGGCCGTGCACCTTGGGGGGCTGTGTGCCATAGGGGTCCTCTGTGCCCTGGGGCACTGTGCACCTTGGGGTCCCCAAGTGTCCTGGGGTCCTGTGTGTGCTGGGGGGATCCCTGCGCTCTGGGGGACTCTGTGTCTCGGGCGGTCCCATGTGCCCTGCAGGCCTACGTGCCCTGGCGGGTCCACGTGCCCTGGGGGAGGGTCCACAGACACTGGGGTCCCGTGTGCCCTGCGGTGTCCATGCACCTTGGGGACCCTGGTGGGATCCTCCTCACTGCAGGAGCCCAAGCGCCCCTCCCAGTCCCCGTGCATGGGGCCAGGATCCCCATCAGACCCACCAGCCTGGCCTGGCCCCGGGGAAGGTGTTTTGCCATGGGGCGAGCAATGGGTCCAATAGGGATCATCAAAGGCACGATTAAATGTGATGCTGTGCCTGCACCCCGGCAAAGCCTGGCGCCGGAGGGAGCCCGGGCAGGCTGGGGGATGCGGGACCCATCTGACCATCATGTGCCTTTGGTTGGCGTTGATGCCTGGAGCCGCTCAGCTGCCAAAGAGCCATTCACGGCTTCATGAAAAGGCCGATCCCGCGGTTGTTCCCACTGACCGCTTCCGCTCCTTCCCATGGGGTGCCGGGAACCCTTCCCCATGGCACAGAGCACCCCACGGGTCCGGCACAGATGAAAGTGGCTCAGCTGGATGCACTGGGAATGGGGTCCCAGGCTGCCACGGTGCCTTGCTCACACTGAGTGCCAGTACGGCAGGGAGTTACGGCCAACGCGTGCCGCGTCTCTAGCCGAAGCCGGTGCACGCGCAGCCCCAGTGCCAGGTGAGGAGCGGCAAAACACCGCTTACCCCCGGGGAAACACAAGCAGGAGGAATCCGGACCAACAGCCACCGGCTTCCCCCCTTCCCGGCTGCTGCTCGGCTAAAGAGCGCACTGGTACGTGCCATGAATTTTTAGCTTTATCAACAGAGGCTTTGAGAACAGAGCTAGAAAATGCCGAGTCTGCAAATCCAAGCGAAGGGAACGCAAGTCACAGGGGAGCAGACGGGGCTCCCGTGCCACGGGATTTGGATGTGCCGGCGGGGATGGGGACGGGGCTGGCTGGCCGGAGCCCCGGGGGTCTGCAGCGCAGAACCCCGGGGCTCCGGCCAGCCTGCCCCGTCCCCATCCCCGCCAGCCCCCGGAGATCCACGCAGCTCCCCGGGGAATGGACACAGCGAGCGCTGCAGAAGGGGGGGAGGATTTATTCCACGCAGTGCAGCCTGGCTCAGCATTAGAGCCACATATACACCGTTACACAGCAGAAAAAGGAAAAAGCTTTGCGGGCAGCGAGGATGAATTAAGGGTTTGAGTGCAGCTGACCTCATTGCTGGCTCTACAAGGTGAAGGTGGGGAAACAAGGGATGGAAGGAGAAAATAGAGGCAGGGGAGGGGATCCATTCTGCTCCCAGCACGATCAAGCAGCTGCAGCACAAGGAAGAACCGCTCCCCACACACCTACAGTAGCGCAGGGAGAGCTGCGGCAGTGGAGCGGGGACCCCGAGCCCTTCATTGGCAGGCTGGAAGGTCCCACGTCAGGGCCTGAAGTGTTTCGTGGAGGGAAGGAGGCTTCAGGCTGGGGGAAGCACAAAGGGCAACCACAGTTCAGGAGTCGCAGGAGAGGGCAAAAAAAGCCTCCGGCCATTAAACACAAGACCAGGAGAAGAGCAGGCAGGGGGACAAACAGGACAGCAAATGTGCTTGGAGGAGGCCAGAAGGGGACTAAGCTGACTTGGGGCCGAGGGACAGCTGCTGTAGATTAGTCCTGCCTCTTTCAGACAGTCCTCACCCCCTGCCGAGAGATGCGGAAAGGTGCCCACGGTGGCAGCCCCCACCCTCCCCCCCCAGACAGAGCCCATCCCCACAGCACGAGCGGGCGCCCGGGGTTTGTGTGACTTTATTGGAGTGCGACACAAGTCGGCGGGGGGGTGATTACAGAGGGTTGGGGGGGAGATGCACACTCTCGACTCAGTCCCAGTCCCCGTCGCCTTCGGGATTGTCGTCTCGGGGGGGTTCCTGAAACTGGATGTTCGCCAGCATGTCCCGCATGGCTGCCATGAGCCTGTTCACCCCCTGGTTAAGGTCCTGCCCTGCTCCAGCCTCTTCATCCCCGTCATGCCTGATGTCCCCCTGCAAGAGAGGAGAGCTGGAGGGGCCAGGCAGGGAGCTGCCTGCCTGTCTGCAGCAGGCAAGGAGAGAGACAATGCCGCTTGCCAAAAAGCATCAGGCTGCTCTGCAACCTGACGTTTACACACTGCATATGCCAAGAGCCACTCCCTTTGCAGAAACACTGTGCAGTGGGAACTTCGGCGTACCGACAGCAAAAGTGCGCTCTGATCTGCCCACAGCAGCTGACTGCACATACCTGCAAGTTAAAATTTGGCAACAGCGATCGGAAGAAGAGAGATAAAGTGCTTTCGTTGGATGGATGATTCGTTCTGAAAGACAGAAGTCACACCATGGTTAAGGGGGCAACTTGGTACTCGACCTCTCGCTGGGGCTGAGGCAGCGCAGAGATGCTGGAGAGAACACGGGCCCTCCTGAGCCAGCCCCGAAGCAGGGTACTGGGGGGTTCTTGGAGATTTCTCACACCAGGCAGCCAGCAGCTGGCCAGCCTCTGGGCAAAGCAGCCATTAGAAGCACTAGCAGGTTTGCTCTGAGCTGGGTCAGTGCATAAGAAACATATGGGCGTCACCTCAATGGCCTGTGCGCACCACAGCTGGCTGTGCTTAAACCTGTCTTTACCCCAAACCACCTCAATTAAGAAACAGCCAAAGTTTTTCAGTGGCCTTTGCCTTAATGGTTGTGAACAGCTGCCGTCTCCGACAGTGACCACCAAGGAAAAGCGGCAGGACCAGTCCTGCCTGTACATTCTGCCTGTCGGCGAGCACCGCAAGCCAGGCTGCTCTTCCTCCAAGATGGAGGAGGACATCAGCTCCGAGCACCCACAGGCACCCAGGCCCGGGGGTGAGGGCGTGCTGGGAACATGCTGGCTGTGCCAGCGCAGAAACGAGGGGTGGCGAAGGTACCTTTCTGGTCTGGTGTAGGAAACGATGGAGTCCAAAGGAGGCAAGGGGTCAAACCCCATCACAGGCTGCGAGGTCACCTCCTGCGGGGGGTAAGAAGAAAGAAGGGGTGAAGGCTGCGTCACCAGCAGCAGCAAACACTGAGGCAGAGAGATGGTCGGACCAGCTGGACGGCTCTTTGTCTTGGGGAGCGCAGCAGAGCCGGGCACCAGCTGCAGCTTGGCCTGCCCACACACGCACCCCCGTGTGTCGCCCGGGAAGCCATGCATACAGAGAGGACACTTTGAGGTCAGCTGGATGCTTCTTGCTGGTGGCTGGGGTTTAAGGCGTGCCCAGCGTCCGCATGCACAGCATGGATGCAAATCCCATCACACCGCATGCAGCGGCACCGCCTGTGCCCCACCAGGGCCCCTCACCAGAGGCAGAGCTGCCGTGGCCTCCTTCATCTCCGAGAGGATGATGTGCCGGTAGATATTCCTGGGTGCACTCTGGTACCGCATCTTCCTCCTAAAGCAGGGAGGGGGACAGAGGATTGCACCGAGCACACCTCAGCATAGCCAGCTTTCCATTTCTGCTTCTCCAGGTGCATCGTCAGCTTCATCCCTGGCTCTGGGGGGATGCGCCGTATTGGACAGAGCTGGCCTATAGCGAAGCCAAAGTCACTTGGCAGCTGCTGACCTCCGGAGGAAAGAGCAGAACAGCTCAGGGACACTGTACCTAATGCCCCTCTCTTCTGCTTCTCAGAGCTGGAAAGTGTTTCTAAGCACTAACCTGCCCTGTGCAATAAATCCCCGAGCTGTGCAGCCATCCGTGCCCTTCCCAACCAGCAGCAACCCCTCCGCCCTCTCTGGGCGATTTCCAAGGCACAGGCAATGGCCGAGGATGGGGGAAGCCGGCGCAGCACACACTCCCCAGTGAGCAAAAGCCGCAGCTCTTCATTCACGTTTGTGCAAAGCAGGGAAAAGCCTCTGCCTTCCTGGCCCCACAGTGTAACCCCTGGCATCAGCAGCCACCATCAGATCGGCAGACGTGCTTCTGAGCAAGCCCCAGCACCGCTGCAGCCCAGGACAGAGCTCCTCTTGTCTGCAGAGTGCTTCGGCCCGCTCTGTCCCCATGTTTCAGCACCCATGCCTGGTACAAGAGCCGCTCACCTCCACCGGCCGCACTCACTTGTGCTCAGACTCCTCCACCAGCGGGTCCCGGGCATCCACCATGCGCAACACCTCATGGACGTTGGTCTCCAGCCACGCCATGACGGCTGGGTCCTTCCACAGGGAGTGAGTCCTTCCCACGTAAAGGGACGTCAGCTGGTTCAAGGCGGGAGGCTGGCTACAGGAGACACTTGTTATTCAGGGCACTCTCCTCCTTCCCGCCTGCAGGTCCCTGTGCGGGCTGGCAAGGGCTCGTCTCTGCACTGTGCTTCAGCGTGAGAACACAAAGAGAGGAATCGCAGGCTCCCTGTTTTGCTATTTCCATCTACCTTCA